TGGCAGCCCATTTTCCAGATGAGGAAACAGAGGCTCTGGGAGGTCACGTGGCTCTCCCCAGATGAACAAGGAAGAAGCAACAGAGCTGGGCTCGGAACGCAGGCCCTCAAAGGGCCTCCCTGTCCACTCGAGGCTGTCCTGTTCCTCCCTGCCTGCTCCTACAGCCCGGGCCCAGGAGGCACAAGTCACTGCCATTACGTTGCACTGACTGAGCGACAGGGGTGGCAATGGGGGAGGGGTTTCCACGTCACGGTCATTTATCTGACTCCCCGACCGCCTTTATCGGCCAGGGGCTGGGGAGAGGGGCAAAGGCAGCGGGAAGGCCGGATAAGAAAGGAAAAACCCACGTGGAAATGCCCCTTCCTGGGGCCCGGACCCATCTCCCCCTGTGCCCACTACAGGTTTGACGGATGCTTAATTAGCATCTGAAAATAGATGTTCTGTCCCCAGTCGGGGCAGAGTTCTAACCCTTCTCCTTTAGGAAAGCAAACTAGGCAGGCGAGGGAAACAGAGGCTGAGAAGGGCTTGATTCAAATCCCAGAGTTTCGCGGGGAGCATGGAGGAATGGCGGTCTCTCATGTTATTGATCTAAGGGAGCATTTTACTTGAGATGACTATTATGATAAGGTGTCAAATATTAGAATGGTGTCAAAACTCCACGTGTCTCAGGTGGTATAGGCACCCAAGACAACCTCAGAGGACTAATCATGATCTTTAGCAAGAGAAAAATATGCAACCTTGTGTCAGTCACGACCGTCACTTTTACTACAATGCCTTCTAGGCGAACTCCTACTTGATCTTCAAAACCCAGGGCAAATGTCCCTTCTGGGAGGTAAAGCTTTCCTGGTCCTGGCCTGCTGAGGTAATTATGCTCCCACTGCATTTTATGTCCCTCTCTGTGTTGACATTAATTGCACCTTGTATGAGTTTTTCCCCACACACATATCCGTGGGGGTGTCCAGGACAGGGAGGAGATGTTTGCTCACCCTCACTTCCACCCCAGAGCTACGCTCGTGGCAGATGTTGGACGAATGACTGGCGCTGAGTCACCTGATTCATGCTATCTACTACCCCAGGCCAGAGGCAATTTGCAAGGGAGTGTTAAAGGCGAGGGTCACTGTGCTCTATGACAGGGGACTCGAGTCTCACTGGCCCCAGACACAGATGACCCAGGCTGTTGGCAGGAGAAATGACCAGCAGATAAAGATCTCAGCCATCTGAGACTGATTTAACAGAAGCTGCCTCTGTGGCTGACTTTCTTTAAATTCAGAGCATTAAATTTAGACTTTCTTTAAATTTCTTTAAATTTAGAGCATTGAAGAAGGTGGGAATCCCTTCTAAGGCCCCCGCAGAGGGACACACCTCACTAATCCTCTGGGAGCGAATAGTCTTCTGAGCCAGGAAGTTCCTTCTCATGTCTAGCCTGCATCCACCATGCTTCACTTGTGCTCTGCTGCCTTTTGCCCAGTCCTTGCAGTTTCGCCCTGCCCAGCTGAGACTTGCACCTGTGTCTTCCACACTCAGGAGAGCAGGCAGCGGCGGGAGCCCCTCTTTGTGTCGTTAGCAATGCTCAGCCCCCCGCAGATGTTTAAACAAGCGGTAGAAGTGGGTTACAACTGGGAGGACGGAAGCTGATACCAGGAACGCCAGGTAAGGTGGCTTTGAGCAGGCAGAGGTGAGGCTAAGTATAGGAACGGGTCTTTCAGGACGGAAAGAAGAACACTGTGTTTTCTATTAATTTGCTCAGCCCGGCAAACATCTCTGAAGCCTGTGCCCATGGCGACGTCTAGCAGGCGGTCCCCGAGCAGTTTCCCTAGCTCTGGCGCCGGGGCTCACACAAAACTGAGCACTGGGTTCCTGCCTCCTGACAGCTCTGAGAGGCATTTGGAAAATTCGACCTCAGACAACAGAGCCAGGATGATTTTGCAAGCCCGTGGTTTTGAAATTTTTCGGGTCAAATCCTACATTGAGCAAAGCTGGGCGCAAATCCCAAGCCCCGCTGGCCTGTCTGTCGTGTTCCCCGGAGCTCTTGAGGCTAAAACGCCTCGGCAGACTCAGTTGGCCTTGGAGACTCAGTCTTTCCTCCTTTCTCTGGCTCCTTTAAGGTCTTTTTCTCCTTTTCCAAGAAAATGGAATTTCCATTTTGGCAGAGGCCCTAAGACAGGTTTGCAGTCCCTCTCCCTGTCCTCTTGTCACAACACCCTGCAAAGCAGGCCAGGGATCCTCTATTGATCCTGCCCTGTTCTCGGTATTGAACCCCCTTCATCAGGCTTCAAGTTCAAGGTTAAGTTTTGCAAGTCGCCATTGTCTGACTGAGGCAGATGGCGGGAAACGGAATGGCCAGAGTCCTGCCATGGCTCAGATTTCTGCAGTGTCAGGAATGTCGTGCAGCTCTGCAGACTTCCGGTGTCTGTCTTGTGGGGTCAGGGCCCCGTCTGCTTCTTCCCTTTAACCCAGATCTCAACGGCCACTGCAGACCAGGACCTACAAACTCTGATGCCTAGAGGTGGCAGGGAGGTAAGATAAATCCATAAAGCAGGCTGGGTGACTTCAAAACATGACACTTGGTGGCATATGAAATGCATAAAAATAGGCTTCATTTTCACAAAAATCTTTCCTGAAACATGTCAACCTCTTGGTCTATCTTTACCTGCCACCTATAGAAAAGAGGTAGATACGAAAAGATGTAACTTCCGTCCTAACAGTTATAAGACAATCAACAGTACTAATGCTACCGTATTTCTCCGAAAATAAGACCTACCCATAAAATAAGCCCTGGCAGGATTTCTAAGCATTTGCGCAATAGAAGCCCCACCCCGAAAATAAGACCTAGTGATGGGCGTGGCTCCACATCTCGTCTGCACAACCCATGCATTTTGTCACGGAGCAATAAAGATGACGAGCAGCCCTTCTCATCTGCCCCATGAGAGCTCTTTTGCTCAACATGAGAGATCGGGGCCAATGATTCCAAAGGAAATAGAGTCGCAAGAAATTCAGGATGGAATTCGGGGTTTGGAGAGTGATGATGATGTTCCGAAGAAGACGACTTCACTCTATTTGAATCAATGTAGATTGTTGTACCGTACTTAAAAAAAAACAAACAAAAACACATCCCCTAGGGAAAATAAGCTCTAGGGTGTCTTCTTGAGGAAAAATGAATATAAGACCCTGTATTATTTTCGGGGAAACACGGTATCATACATGACAATGGATACTTGGCCTTCACGAGAGAGAGAGACGATTGGGAGTGGTGGGGACTGTGGCAAAGTGGAGAGTCCCACCCTGTCTAGAGGGGCCAGCTGCTATTCAGCCTATACAGATCATTGCCCCGTAAGAAAATAGCCTCAGTGTGGTCAGACTGTGCACAATTTTAAGAGAAGCTGTAGATATATTTATGTAAAAATTTGAAACGTTGTCAATAAATTTAAAATATAACTATAAATTCTTTCTTAGGACAATACAGTGTAGACCTAACGACTTAGGTCTACAGCATGGATCTGGCCTGAGGCTGCCTCTTTCTGTCCTTCGTCTTGGGAGAGCTCATAGCATGGCAATATCCTTTTATTTTCAATTAAGAAAATAAATATAAAAAACTTTTAAACTATATTTGTTCATTTAATTATCAATAGACGGTAGTTCCCTCGCGCTCACAACGTGGCCTTGGTAGGTTGTGTTCTTCTACCAAACATTGCTAGTTATCACTGCCAGGGAGGACAGAGGGTCAGCCGGCGTGACGGTGGGTCTGGCTCACCATGGAATCCCGGATGTCCTTGTCTTCATGGCCAGCTGCCAGTTTCCACCAAGGCTCTGGAATGTTCCACCCTCCCCCTCTGGAGCTATGCAGAGAGGCCTTGAGTCTTTGTCCAGATGAGCTGATAGCGAAAGGTGCTACCCATAGATCAAACATAGGGAAAAGGAGGCCCGTGGTCACCTGCTGAGTGACCTGGGCCACCCCCCTGTTCTGACCTCCTGCTCGTCTTCCTGCCCAGACTTCACGGCAAGGTAGCGGGTGGGTGGAAATCCACACGCCTCCCTAGCGTGGCTCTGGCCCGGGCTGCCAGCTACCCAGGCAGGTGAGGAAAAGGCACCGCTGATCTCCAGCCAAATCGAGCCACTCTTGGAAAACGATACAGACTCAGCTGTCAAAACACATCTGAACAGATGGGCAAAGACTGAACAGTTGGATAACAGACAGAGTCGGCGAGGTTGTGCGGCAACAATCACTCTCCTACTTAGCTGGTAAGATTGGACCAACCCCTAAGGTGAGCGTTTTGGCAATTTCCACCCAAATTGCGAATGTATTTGATCTTTGACCCAACAATTCCACTTCTAGGAATTTACTGTATGGATATCCATGCCCAGGTGACAACTGAAGTATCTGCACAATGCCACTCATTACAGCACGGTCATAGAAAAATATTAGCAATGGCCCAAAAGTCCATTATGAAAGACTGACTCAGTAAGTTACGGCACAGCCACACAATGGGAATACTACGCAGCCATGAAAAAGAACCAGGACCCTCTCTACCCACTAATTGGAACAACCCCCAAGCGATGTTGGTACGTAGAAAAGCAAGTTGTAAAACAATGTGTGTCATATGCTCTCATTGTGTAAAAAAATAATACATGTGTGTATATTTGTCTGTCTAGGCATAAAATATGGACAAATAAACACACAAAACCCATTAACACTGCTCACCTCTGGGGAGACAAACCATGCGGCTGGGATTAGGAGAGAGAGAAATCCTTTCTTTCATATCTTTTTAATTTGGAACCACGTGAGCGGCTTTTTGGGTAGAAACGGGACTGACATTTGAAGAGTGGCAAGCTCACAAGCAACAGGAAACAAAGCCAAGATCCATATCCTACTTATTAAGCGCTCCTAGCCTCGGCCTCCCACGCTCTCCAGCCCCGGTGGCTGGTTTGCGTCCCAACACAGCTTGGGGTGTGGCTGCCCTGCCGCAGCTCTGCGCCTGGCGGGCCGGGGGACCCACACTCACCTGCTCTTTCTCCGAATACGGGTTGTTGAGGACGACGGGCACGCTGCCCCTCCCCCACAGGTCGTTGAAGACGCGGTCGTTCTCCATGCCCAGGGGCAGAGGTTTGTGTGACTTGCCGTCCAAGTCTCTGAAAGGCAAGGAGGGGGCAGGTGAGGACCGGGAGCCTTCAGGGGTGACCGCTGGTCGCAGGGACCTGGGAGTCCCGAGAACGTGGAGGCCCACTCTCGTGACTCTACGTAGCGCCGACAGCCTTGGGGACCCGGCTGCTGCCACCTGAGGATGGCCAGTGACACGTGGGAGGCAGCCCCAGGGGTTAGGAACAACGGTGAGGTGGCCCGAGCAGACCTCGAAGGCTGGCGCGTCCCCGTGTTTGCGGACACTGTTTCAGGATGGCCCTGACACGGACTTTTCTCATTCCCCCCACCCCCTGCCCCATTCTACGGGTCTGAGGACACAGGAGGCCCGTCTCCTGGCAGGACTCCACGGACTGTGAGCCCCGAGCAGCGTCACGCCGGGGACACTTAATGCTGGAAAAAGGAGGAGGCGGGAGAGTTAGGGAAGTCCTGTGGCCGAGTGACAAGCCATCACCTGCACCCTGACTAAGGCTTTGGGCTTGGAGCAACGCCAGCCCAGGATGCGCAAAGTGATTCTGCAAATAAAGGGAACATGGCAACAAAAACAATAGTGCTATTAATGACGATAGCTAGCATTTATTAAGCACCTACTGTGTGCTCAATGCTTTACATGTGTTTTAATCCATTTAATCCTCGCAGTGGCCGTTAACCACCATTTAACGGATGGGGTGAGGGAGGCAGGGAGAAGCTAAAAGGGTCAAGGTCACGTAGTTTGTCAGTGGCCAAGACCAACATTCCAGCCATGTTCACATCCCACTCATTATCATCTTCATCACCATCATCATCATCATCATCTTCATCATCATCATCATGGCCATTACCACAACCACCATCATTACCATTGTCATTCTCATAATCATCATCACTCAACTTGTCCTCATCAGTAGCGCCACCATCATCACCACCATCATCACCCTCATCTTCATCACATTGTCATCTTCATTGTCATCACCACCATCACCATCATCTTCCTCCTCCTCTTCATCACAACCACCCTCAGCGTCTTCACTGCCACCATCGCCATCCTCACAATCCTCACCCTATGAGGAAACTACGGCTCAGAGTGGTTAAGCCACTAGCCTGAGTCGCACAGCGCGTGGCAGTGGATTCCAACCCAGGCTTGTTCCTGGCGCTAGAGCCTGACCCGGCACCGCCGCGCTTTCCCGGCTCCCTGCTCTTGAACTCTAGCAGGCCCAGGGGGAGGCTCTCTCAGCCGGGTTCCACAGGCTCGGGGACCAAAATCCAGCTGGCCCCATCTGCCCCGCCTCCCCGTGTCCTCCCACCCTCTGGGTGCAGCCCTCCCGCTTCCTGCCGGCCAGCCTCCTTCTGGGCCTCCCGCCTGGTTTCGCTCTGACTGTGACGTCTGTCTCTTCCCCAACGTGCCGGGTGCCGCCTGCTCTGTGGCTTGCCCCAGCTGTGGTCCCAGACATTAAGGCTGGCCCCTGTCTGGCCCTGTGTTCAATGTCCCCAGCTCCGGGGACTCCTCCGTCCCCCAGTCTGGTGCACTGACAGTCACTTGGGCCGAACCAGAAGCCAGGGCCCCAGCTCGGAGCGCACGACCCCTCTGGTGGCCCCCGCTTGCTGAGCTCCACAGCATCCCTGCGGCCCACGTCATGGCCACTTCTGCCCACAGAGGTTCGTGAGTGTCAGGAGGGACACTCTGCTTTGTCCTCTCTAAAATGTCACCGAAACATCCCCAGAGTGGTTCCTGATGACCGCCATTTCCCAAGCCAGTGGCTCACCTCCGTGGTGATAAAGAGAGGAACCGTCTGCGGAGAGGGCTGCCCCGAATGTCACTCGCCTCCCGATCAGCCCCAAACCCCTGACCCTGTGACATCACATGACCACACGTGGGGATCTCAAAAACTGCATCTTGAGCCTCTGCAACATGCCAGGTACTTGCACCGAAGTTATTTCACTTAGTTTCGGCAGACACTAAAAGCCCTATTTCACAGCCGAAAACACCGAACCCAGAGAGGTCGTGTGAGTTTCCCGAGGTCCCACAGCGAGCAGACAGCAGAGCTGGGGTTTGAAACTAGGCCTGATGCACAGTCGGCCCAAATCCTTCCTTTTGTAAAAAAAATTTTAAAAGCAGGTAAAATTGGTTAGGATGCTCCTATAAGCCAGAGACCACAGAGCAAGTGACCCAACATCTCTTGCTGAATGAGGCCGCCCCAAAAATGCCCCCAGACATTTCGAAATGTGCTCTGGGGAGCAAAATGACACCCCTCCCCGCTGAGACGCGCTGGTGTAGACGAGGGGCAGCATTCTAATGTCCCCCTTCGAGTTCCTCCCATCCCTGCTCCAGGCCCGCCCAAGGGTCCCTTGTTCCCAGATGGGACCGAGGAACTCGCTCCCACCCACCCCTCTCGGGTGTCCTCACCCCTGTGCAAAAGCCACTCCCCCCCCCCCCGCACCCTCAGCATTCTGGTGGACCAGTGTCCCCAGAACTATCACATGGTCACATTGGGTGGCTCCCAAACTTCAGGGTGTAGCCACCTCAACCGCAGGGCTTGTTAAAATTCAGATTGCTGAGCCCCTCCCCGCGGGACTTGGAGGAGTGGAGGGGGGGCGCCTTGGAATGGCACTGGCGGGAGCACCACCCAGGGAGCACCAGCCAGGGAGCATCACCCGGGGTGGCCCACAGGCCCCGTGCTGGAGCTCTCTGGCCTGGACTCAGCGGCGGGCAGCAGCCCGCTTCCTTCTGGGTTGGAAATGTCACCCTCCCACTCTCCTTTCCTTCCCCGTTGGGCCAGGTGTGGCGCTCTGCCTCCCTCGCGGCAAGCGATTTCTGTGCTTTCTGGCAAGAACTAGACTGAATCCTTTTTCTTCCACTTCGCCAGCTAGGTGATCATGCCCAAGCCAAGAGCCGGTCTTGCATCTCTAAACCTTCTGGGGAGCTTTGCCAGTTCCTTCTAGCAGAAGCTTCCAGGAAGCTGGGGCCCCCGACCCCTAGCACAGGAGGGGCGGGGTGCGGGGGTCCCCACAGGAAGCTCGGACGGGGGTGGGTTGGCCCGGTGCTGGCCGCTGGAGGAGCCCGGGGACCCCGGAGGGAGCAGGTGGGCCAGGCCTGGGTGCGGGGCGAGGGGAGGCCGGGCTGCCGCCTGCTCTGGCTCGGCCAGGCACGGAGGCCAACGAGGAGCAGCTGGCCCTGGCGGGAGGCCCGGCCTGCATTTTCCAGCAGACGCCAGGCTCGACTGCCACCTCTCCTTGCCCTGCGCGCCCGGCAGACGTGGGTTTGTGCCCCTACCTGCGCAGGCGTGCTGGGAGCACTCGGGGCCGTGGAGACCGGGCGTGGGTCTCTGCGAAGCTCCCTCCTAGATTCCGTCACGTGTGGATGCGCGGGGCAGGTGTGTGGGGGTTTGACACTCTTGTTAAATATAAAAGTATCTTTTTTTTTCTCTTTGAGGCAGTCTCACTCTGTCGCTCTGAGTCGCGTGCAGTGGCATCATCACGGCTCACTGCAGCCTCAAACGCCTGAGCTCAAGCGGTCCTCCCACCTGAGCCTCCACAGTAGCTGGGACTACAGGTGTGCACCACCGCACCTGGCTAATTTTTCTAGTTTTTGTAGAGGTGGGGTCTCGCTCTTGCTCAGGCTGGTCTCGAACTCCTGAGCTGCCCAAGTGATCCTCCCGCCTCGGCCTCCCAGAGTGCTAGGATTACAGGTGTGAGCCACTGGGCCCGGCCAAAAGTATGCTTCTGAGAGCAGGAATTGTGTCACAAAGCTGCAGCTGAGGAGTGCGGTGAGGGTCTCTGAGCTCAGTCACAGTCAAGACTCATAGTCACTAATATCACCGGAGCTGGGCGGGTTCTCAGACTCGCACACCTGCAGGGCCCAGGCCAGCGGGGTCCACGGGTGGCCTGGGCTGCATGGAGAGCCCACGGCAGCCTGGCCCAGGCCCTGCCACTCGGCGCCAGGCCGGGAAGCCGATAGAAACCACTTTTTGAGGCCTGGCGCGGTGGCTCACGCCTGTAATCCTAGCACTCTGGGAGGCCGAGGCGGGTGGATTGCACCAGGTCAGGAGTTCGAAACCAGCCTGAGCAAGAGCAAGACCCCATCTCTACTATAAATAGAAAGAAATTAATTGGCCAACTAAAAATATATAGAAAAAATTAGCTGGGCATGGCAGCGCATGCCTGTAGTCCCAGCTACTCGGGAGGCTGAGGCAGAAGGGGGAGGGGCAAGGCCACTGGACTCAGTCCAGTAAGACACCCGGGGTGGCGGCAGGGACGGCCAGTGGTCAGCCCAGGTCCTGGGCACAGCGCTGTTCGATGCTTGGATGAGTGCAGTAGACTGAATCTCGGCCTCAGAGATGTCGGGTCCTCATGCCTTGAGCCCTAAAAAATATGTTTCCTTATATGGAAGAAGGGTGTTTGCAGGTGGGATGGGATTTTAATGAGATGGGCAGATTACCTGGGGTTACCTTCGTGGCCCCCAAATGTGATCCCGTGCCCTTAGAAGAGGGAGGCGGGGGGAGAAGCACCAGGAGCCCTGTGGTTACGTGCAGTTTTTGGCGGGTGGGCGGGCAGGTGGGCGTATTCCATAGCTCTTCCCCAGGACGAAGGGCGGGCGCCCCCCTGACAAGAGGGCAGGGACAGAGATCGGAAGAAGGCACAACACCAGGGTAATACCCCAGAGGGGATGGACGGGGCGGCCACCCACGTTCCCGCGGTCAAGACGAGAAGGAGAATTTGTGCTGAGATTCGGTGGAAAGGCCAAGTTTTGGGGTTCAGTCCCTTAGCCAAAAAATGCCCCAGCCGAGGGACCCCATGCCGTGCGATATGCCGAGTGCAGCCTGGGAGGAGACTCCTGACTCAGTGCTCGAATGGCACTGTCGCTGTCATTCCGAGGTCAGCGCCAACGGACAGAATTCTGATAGCCCTCGTCCCGCTGAGCAAACCCTGAGCCAGCCGCCCTCCCTCTACGGGGAGGGTATCTCGGGGGGACAGTCATCCCCTCGTCTTCCTGTTCCCGGAGAGGAGGGCACAGCTG